TTTTCCAGACACTCCAGGGGAAAAAAAAAAAAAAAAAAAAAAAAAAAAAAAAAAAGTAGCAGAAGACTGCCTTGTAGGGAACACTTTGAAATTGCATCCTGAATGCCCAGTCGTACAACCATGTTCACGGGTTCAATTACAGCTACAGGTGCTGCTGCTGATCTTTAGTGTTAATCTGATAGTGTCTGGAAAATGTAGAAGAATTGTGTATTAAAAATACCCCACCACACTTAATGTAAGCCTTAAAAATTATCTGTATTGGTATAAAACGACATTTTAGAATACATGGAAAGGAGCTGGATCCATTTGTGCTTTTCCAATGCAAAGTCAACTTCTGGCAGCTGCCATATAGACAACCTTTCCATAAAAATAAACTACAACATTTTGCCTGCACACAGAATTCCAGTAATGTCTTCTGCTTGAGATACAACAGGGATAACTCATATTAAAACTCCAACCCAAAACTTTGCAAGATTATAGAAGTTTACTGCAGGAGCTGGCAGGAACACGAGGCAGCTCCAGCCAACTGTGCATGAAATACATGTACAGCACATGGATTTTGTTCTATTCCAAAAGCACTGCAGTTCACACTTGAGCTCACAGCTGAGAGGGTTTAGGTAAATGTACTTACCTAACGTGAAGCAAACATGACAGACACAGTTTTTCAGGTGTGGTTTTGAAGGAATGAGTGTGCAAGCACTGACAATACCATGGCAGAGTTCAGCCCATTCCCAAAGCTGACTCAGGCTTTGGAAGCACAGATCCATAACACTTCTGGGTGTCCTGACTCGCACGGCAGAATTTGCTTTTTTCTGCTCGTGACAAAACATGGAAGCACTCCAGAGACAGACCAGGTGCAGCAGCACACTGCAAACCCCTGGTCACAGCCTGCCTAAGAGGATTTCGCACTCTCCAGTTCAATTTCCTCCCTCGCAGTTGTTCCATTCAGCTGTTTGCTCAGCCCTGTCTTAGCAAAGCTGTTGCTTCATCGGAGAAGGGGAGAGGGACATTTGTTCTCTAAGGTTTGATTCCCAGCCCAGATCATTTCTCTGAGCTGTTCCAGTACAGCTGCAGGAGCACTGAAGTCAGCACAGCTGAAGGTGCTGAGAGCTGTGGTGAGGCCAGGAAAGTTTCTGCTCTGCTCCAGCGACCAGAAGACAGAAATTTCTTAAGTCAACTGAGCCCTGTGAGGATTCCTCACCTTTAAGGGGGCCAAACTGGCTCTCTGAAGAGCCTAACTCCTGCACTTTCCTCATGAAGAGATCGTGCTTCTGGGACTGAGCCTTCCATTTGGTACAACATGGAAGGTGATGAAAAGCAGTTCCTCTGCAAGCCCATCACTTCTTTCTAAGCTACCAGTTCCAGATGGGCTTCTACCATCAGTTCAGACTTTGGGGAAAAAACAAGACCATCCTGAAGTTTCTATACAGTTTTAGCATACTAGCATCTTTTCCAATACAATGAAAAATGTAAAAGAAAAACAGGTGCTATCTAAGCATTATAAAGAAAAAGAGATATTTTAAATTCTGACCTGTCTAGAAAGGATTTATATCTGATAGAAAAGAAGTTCTGTGAAAAACGAGGAGAAAGTATTTCACAGGACTATGTCATCTTTTTCAGAAAAGCTACTCTTTAGCTGCTTCAAATGCCACCATTTCTGATATTGAGCCCAATTTAGAGAGGATTTAACAAAGACTTTACAGGCACTGTTATTATGCTTGATCCAAAGAGAGCTTCATGATCAGTGACACAGAAAACGGAGCAGGGAGAGGGCAGATACCAATTCTGTGTCTGAATTAATGGCCAGAGGTTCACCACAAGAGAAGATCAGAATAAACTCAAGCTGCCAGATGGTTGATTCATTTTCCCAGGCAGGAGATTCGTGCTCATGCTGCTTCCTTTCTTTTCATTTTTCTTCCTTTTCTTTCTCCTGAAGAATAGGAAGCTCCTCTGCCGTTCCATTTCCTCATTTGTATTATTAAAAAAACCCAAATAAACAAAACAGTCAAAAACAAACAACAAAAAACCAAAATAACAAACAACAACAAGAAAAAGCCACCACCAACACACCACCACCCACAATTATTTATTTATTTAAAGACTTTTCTTTTGAGAATTGGAGAAAGAAACCAGAATTTGTATACTGGATCACCCAAGGTGAGGTGGTGGCTTTGATGGCCTGTATTGAATAAGCCCTGACCACACTTTTGTCTGTTGAGATGGGTGCAGAGGGAAAAAGCAGTTTTCCCACTCAATTTTTTTCCCCAGATTTTTGAATCTGGCTTAGTCACTCCAGGGAAATCTGCTCTAAATCCTTTTGAAGATGAGCTATTACATAAGAAACAAAAATAAAGACCAAAAAATGGGTTACTTTCCCATAATTTGCAGGAGATTGCACATCAGTAGCTCCTTAGGTCTTTCCCTGCTCTGTGAACAATTTCTTCCTTTTTCCATTTATGTAAGTCTCCCTTGTGTGCCCCTATTTCTCACCAGGTCTTTCCAGAACACCCAACTCGTGTCTGAATTTTCTTTGATTCGGTAAGTTTCTGCCTGCTCCTTCTGTGAAGGAGCACAGAATCACAGTTTGTCCCATACCACTACAAAGAAAGGAAGTTTTAACTCCCCTTCATCATCAGCTCTAAAAAAGAACAGAATCCCAGTAAGTTGCAGATGCCTTTCAGCTAATTGCATTATGAGCAGCAGCTTTACTCAGTCCCCTGTGCCACTTGTTACCCAAAGCCTTTCTATGTCACATTCTTTGAGATAAAAATCCCTTAGCCAGATTCTGAAGTTCCATCAGCAAACTGCTGTAAAGGCCACACCAGTTTTTGGTAGGAAATAGTGAAAAGCCCTTCTCCTGGCTGCAGTCAGGACAAGTCACTTTGACCTGAGGCATCACCTCACCCTAGGTACAGGAACAAGTGTTACCCATCAGGCCACCTCTCTTGGATTCTGGACACAATGTGCTCCAGTTTCCAGATGTAGGGAAGTTTTTGAAGACACAGGCAAGACATTATTTGTGTTCTGTAGCTAAGTCCAGGCAGAGGAACCATGAATCAAGGTCCATTTTATGAGTCAGGCACTGTGACAGCATCAGTGACAAAGTCTGAGGAGGAAGCACAGGAACCAGAGAAGCATGTTTCAAACTGGGTAAGCCAGGTAAGTGGCAAAGGCAGCAAAGAACAGAGTGTGTGCCAGAAAAAGGGCTGGGGTGAGAGGCTGCCAAGAACTGAGATAAAGTCAAGGAGGCCAAACAGAACAACTGATGCCAAGCAAGGCAAGAAGCTTTAGCTGAGAAACAGCTAAAACCCAGTGAAACTGTATCATACTCTGGATGTGTAGGGCTCCTAACCCATCAGGAACACAAAGCAGTTCTCAGCTGGTCAGAGCTCACAGGGCTCCAGCCCCCCTCAGACTCTGATATGGAGCCAGGGCTTGCCTAAAAAGGGGAGAAGGGGCTGGCTTATGGTTAGGTGAAAATAAAGTGGAAGTGAGACAGAAACAACATTATTCAGCTCAACCTCTGCCCAGGATCATAGAGCAAAACAATTATGAACAACAAAGTCAATAGTTTTGTGTTTAAATCTGAAGAAAATCCCCTATCAAATATATGGGACAGCACTCCTCCGTATGTGCAGGCAAACACAAGATTTGGATGACGTACCTTGGTGTTTTCCCCACAAATTACTGAGGCTGGAACTCAGGGGCTTGAAGGGGAAGTCTAGGCAGTGGGGGGTTGTTACTGACAGATAAGGTCAAGGAACAGATAACTCTTTCAGATTAACTGGTATGGTTTTCTGGGGCTGACCTACCACATTCCCAAGATTCTCTATATATGTCTGTCCCTAACACAAGCTTCCTTTGGTTTAGTTTTCACCATCAACCAATTTCAAGGTTTCTTTCAGACTGTGTTTCTCCTAAGTCACTCCCCTACAGCCAGTTGTGTCTGGGGCTCAAGGCCTTTTCTGCTGCCTCAACTCTGACACAGTGGGTGGTGGAAGCAAAGCAAAGTGTGATGGTGTCATTAGCTGAGATTAAAGGTTTTTGTAAATGGCACAATGCATAACAAGTAGCAAGGAATACAACAGTTTATGACTTGTTGGGGGATTGCACAGATGTTCAAAACCGTTAAGATAAAAATACTTCTTTCAGACTGTAACTTTTTTGAGCGACAGTAGCAGGCCTGCAAAGTGCCAGCAGCTGTGAAGGAAGTGTTTTCCCCTCCGTGGCAAAGGGCACACCTGGGATGCTCACCAAAAACACCGAGCACAGCAAGTCCCACTCTCACCCCCCCAGGGAGCCCCCACTTCTCCCTTCCCTGTACCTCTGGTTCCAACTGTGGGCCTAGCAGAAGTGAAACTTCCAACCTGGAACATGGATCTTCCTAAAAGAAACTTGCAATTGCCAATTAGGCCTTTAAGAAAGCAACTGTTGACGAAGTTATAAAAGTCCTAAATTGCGATGCAGATGTCCAATTGTTATTTTTGGTACATCTGTTTTGCAAAACACCCATTTGAAGCAACAGTGACTTTTGTACCCTGCGGGCAGAGCTCCCACACTGACTCCAGTAACATCACATGGTCGGTTGTGCAGGACAGGGAGCTACAGCCTTTAGAGTCCTGGACTCAGAAGCTTCTCTCTGTAACACAAGAGTTAAAAGGAAGAGATGCCTGTGGCTTGACACCCACTTTGGAAAAGCCTGTATTCAGAAGATGAACTGTTTGGCTTAAGTGGCGGCTCTCATCATACACTGCAAAATTAAGTCACAAAAGAGAAATTGTGTCAAGAGCTTTACAGCAAGATCTAACAATATAAAATCAAAAAGACATAACATGAATAGATTTAAATGCTGTCTTGGTAATCTTTGAAGGTTATAATAATTCACTCTCCAAAATCTGAAGGTGACCATACGCACTTATACTAAACCTGGCTTTTTAGCAATTATTGTAATGATTCTTCTAGACGTTTTCACAGTGGGACTCTGCAAATGTGTTTTTCATTTTTTGATAGTAAGCACCATTTTTCAATCTGAGAGCAAAACTAATTTCAGTCTCTCCAATACATTTCCAGCAATTATTACTTATCAAGAAATTTATCTCAGCTAACACAATAGCTATCCTTAAATTAGTAATTATCTAAAGGCGACCAAATAGTTTTTGATCAGCTTTAAATATTCTATACTCACAATATAATTAATATAATCATTCATAAATGAATATATACTGTCTTCTTTCCTGTTCTAGGAAAAAGCAAGTTTCTTGGGAAGCTAGTTACAGAGCCATGTTCTTTAGTTAACACTTACAGATTCACTGTAATGTTGTCACTATTGCTTAGTAGGAATTCACGGTTAAGAAAAAATTGAAGATATAATTTGAATTTCAACACAGATTGTTTATCATCACAAGCCATTTTGCCTTCTCACAGAAAGCCACATTATAATTACAGCACATTAATTGCTGTACAGCAGCATCAGTAGAGCTCTTGAAGTGACATGACACAGTGACATGACACATTTGCCAAGATGAGAAGGTACTTTCAACAACCTGAATCAGTGTGAAGCCATGGCAGGAGCAGGGGGGAGGAAAGCTTTCCTTGATCAAGTTTTCAAGCTACTCAGTGAAACTTAATGCATGTAAAGCACACAAAAAACTGGTAGGAGGGAGAGTATTCACTCGTACTTGATTTCCATGAGGAATTAAGGTGCATGTGGGTAGACTGGCTCTTCCCATCTGGCCCTATGGAGAAGGGGACCAGCACCCTTCATGAGCCACCAGGCCAATCCAGCTGCTCTGCACAAGCCAACAGGGGGAAGCCTCAGAGGCAGCACTGGAAGCATCTCTCCAGCCTTCCCTGGCACCTGGCCTTGCTGACAGGAGTCAGTCGTGCACAAGGCAGAGGGTAACAAAGAACATCGTGAACAACTCACTCTTCAGAAAAACACTGCAAAAGCCAGAAGAGAAACCTCCGGCTCCTCTTTGCTCTGTGAAGAGCTGACCTTCACACATCAGGTGCTTGAACTTGCACACTTTGTAAGGCAGAGTCTGTTCCCAGCAGTTCCTGAAGACCACAGCAGCAAAGGTGACTGCCCCTGGCAATGCTCCATCCACAGAACACCACTTCAGCTTGGTTTCACATGCACACCATATTCAAGTGCCTGCATTAACCTCCACCCAGTGATAATTCAATTCCAACCATCCACTGTATTTACATTTCTGTTAATTACAATAAAAACAAATAGAAAAGGTAACTTTAAAACCCCATGCTGATGAACAGCACTTTGAAATCTTTAAGGAACTATTTGTCCTGTAGCTTCAGACTGCACATACAGCTAACAAAAAATCCCACTGAAGAACTGTGGTCAAAACTAAACTAACCAGACAATGTTAAAATGAATATTTAAATACTCTAATTGAAAAAAAAAAAACAAACAAACAAAAGCAAAACCCCACCAACAAACCAACAACCAATTCCCAAGCTATAATTTAAGAAGGTTTTATTGTATTATGAGCTTAAGATCAAGTCTCAAAACAAATTTTAATAAAGTCCAGACAGCTCGAAGCTGTAGAGGCAGAAGCTGCTGCAATCAGCTGAGTAATCTCTGTGTTTCAGACCCCACGTTTCAAGGCAGTGAGAAAAAGCTCCACGCATAACAAAAACATGGACTCTGGGTTCTCCTTATTTTAGCCTTCTGTTTCTAAATAAGCCATGCACTTCCCGTGCTTTCTAAGCAACACACTTCCAGGACCTTACTGAAAACCCGTGTAAATCTCTCAAGTATCCAGTGTAGCAAGTAGTTCTGCTACTACAAATAACATAGCAGATACTTGAACATATTGCACAGCTCCCAGGAAACTCATAAAAATCAACTTCCAGGGCACCTGTGTCCTGCTCCTAACCTCCTTTTCAAAGCCCCTGTGCTTGCACTTCATTTATTTGCATCCTTCATTTCTGTCTCTTTAAACATTCAGCTCAGTATTAGAGGCCATGGAATTTCTTCTGTTTCTTTAAGGTACTGAAAATCAGAGTAAATTGAAAAAAAGTCTTCCTAATTCAAGCTGTCAGAATTTGATGACTATGCTAATTATTTTTTCACATTTAGTCTGAATAGAACTCTGATTATAGTTTCTTTAAAAAAAACCCTAAACCTACAGAGTTTGTCATTTTTATTTTGACATCTCACTAAAAGGCTTTTAATCCTTTAATGTCCCTAAGTGATTACAATTTGAATTGCTATATAGCTGTATCTTTTATAATATCAATGAAAAAGTTGCAGTAAGGGACATGTATCTAAAAATATAAACCTTTTAAAAGTTAACAAGATTTACCATGAAGCAATCATGCAATGTAGGACAATGTGCTTGCTCTCCATTGCAGTGTAGAAGGCTCTGTGTGTGACCTACTTCCCAGCTCTTCTCAGACAATTTACATACTACATTTACACCCCAAATCACCTCCTTGCTGAGATTTAGTTTTGTAACAGTTTAAGCTAAATTTGGTCCAGCTCTTGTGCAGACAGGACTTTGAGCAGCCTGCCAGGTTCTGCAGCCTGTGAGCTGGATCCAGCTGATCCAGGCTCTCTCACATGACTCAGGTCAAGCTTAGGTAACCAACCATCTGCTGAAACAAGTCAGCACCACGCAGGGCGCAGCCTTAACTAAACAAGCTATTTCTGGCAAGGTACACCAGCTCAAGGCTAGCAACCTCCCTTCAATTTCCCTTGATATGGACAGAAAACCCTCCCAGGAGGGAAGAACGGGAGCTAGGAACAAGGCTGTCAGGATTGCCAGTCCATATCTCTCCCAAAAAATCCCTGTGTGCATGAATTATCTGAAACATTAGACTCCTCACAAAGGCACAGAAAGGCAAAATAAAACTGAATTTTTCATTAATTTCTAGTCATCATCTATTCCCAAGACCAAATTAAATCATAAAAAAATAGCAAAACTAATGTTAGATTTATAATTAACAAACTTTAATCTATACAAACAATAGATTTTATTTTCTCTCAGATAAAAATATATTAATTATCCTTAGTAACACTCAGGTTAAATTAATCAATTTAATTACAAAACAAAAAGCAACAGAAAGCAGCCTTCTGGGTTTTTTTTTAGTGTGAGAATCAAATACACTGATCAAGGAACATCTGGGTTGCACTTTATTTTAAATATTCATATCATTACACAGCACAGATTTAAAAAAATAGAAAAGGTAGATATATATTTCTGTGTATTCAAAACTTTCATAACATGAAAAACTATGTTCTGTATACACTATATTCTAAACCTTAGTGTGTAGAACTCAAAAATATATACACAGAACATGTCCGTAGTTCCACAAAATAAGGAAGTGACATAATCAAGCAGTGATCATAAAACAGCTGTACTTGAATACAAAGCTGTGATACTTTCAAAATCAGAAATAGGGGATCAGTCCACCAAGAAATAGTTTAAATATTTTAAGGTGGCTCTCATTAGAATAGTTCTTAACTTTTGAATTTAAATGACATGAACAAAAATGAAAGATTTCTAACACTGCTAGTGAATGTTAAAAAAGCATTTTCTAGGAGATGAAGTTTTATCTTCTCCTATGTAAATATAAGTTATGAAGCAGTGTAAAGTATTAGCAGATAAATAGTTAGCATGATACTGTGTTACAAAAAGAAACACAGAAGAAAGATGTCAAACTGAACATATTTTTGTGTAAGGGGCAAATTTAAAATGAGTCTCCTCTCACGAAGAGCACAGGGTACACAAAATCTCCTTAATTTCTTGAGTTCCCTTTTAATCAGTAAAATTAATGTACATTTTATATAAACCTCCTCTCACGAAGGGCACAGGGTACACGAAATCTTAATTTCTTGAGTTCCCTTTTAATCAGTAAAATTAATGTACATTTTATATAAAGATGGATCTTCATGAAAAAAAGATATCCAAAACCAGTTTACTGAAGACAATTTATACATCTGAACCAGAAAAACAGATAGGGAGACAGGAATTAAATTAAAACAGACAAACCTACAAAGTAGCAGAAGTAACCATAAGGCTACAGCAGCAGGTTTATGTGTATTGTCTGAATTATGTCACAACCAAAGTTACAGAAAAAAAAGAGACTATTTTCAATCCTACATAATATTTGTAAAAAGCTAAAATCTCAGGTATAATACACATGTATACAATTATACTTTGAATTAACTTATTTACAAATTTTATATAGAGACAGGCTCTTTGTACAAACTCTATTTGCACAAACTTCAGTGGTACAGAGTCCTACCAAAGTGAAGCAAAGGAATGATCACATAAATAAAGGTTTACATTACTTGGGCTTTCCCATATCAGGTCAATGAACTGAAGTTACAAAATATACATATTTGCCTTTCATACACATTGCTTTTTGCATACAAAAAATTCACTTAAGGAAAATAATTTGTAAAGTGTTAAAATGTGTAGAGTTTGACAGCAGAAAAATCTTAAGTCCTGCCATATGGTTACATTCTGAAATTAACTGCATCTTTTACATAATGTTACACATTTTTAAAGTAATAAAACAGGAAACATTTGCATCCATAGTGCTGTGTATTTCACTAATACATAAAAATTTCCTGTATTTTCATAATATCTCTACGACACAGAGGGCATTCATTAAGTAATTGAGCACATTCCTTACAGGCAACGAGGTGACCACAGGGAATGAAGACAACTGACACGTCCTTAGCCATACAGATTTTACAGAGCTTTTCCTCCTGCAAACGTCTTAACTTCTCTTCAGTACTGAGGTCTAAGGAAAACAGACACATAAAAACAAGTTAACATACTTACTACCATTAAATCTCTTTTTTTTTTATCTTTACACACAAGGACAAAGTGTTATTCATATGATTTAAAGGCCACACCCTTAAAAAGAGCAAAGAAGAACTACAAAAGAGGAATCCTAGCTGCAGCACGGAATCCTCTTTTTTTATTTCCCCTTCTATCCCATTGCATCTCCCAGGCCAATGCAAGCAGGGAGTGCATCTATCTGTATTGGTAAGAGCATGAAATACCTACAGAATTTAGGAGATGAAGATTTCAATCAGGAACCACTCTTTTCACAGACCTCTCACTGACAAAATTTCCCTGAAATTTGTACAGAAGGTGAAAGAAAGGCTCGTTGCTACTGGTTAAGTCACTTGGATTTTATTTATTTTTTGTGAGTTTTCCTAATGAGAAAATGAAGATGTGACTTCCTTCCCTGCCCCCATTTTCAAAATGCCCATACTTCAAAAAGCTTAAAATCTGTAACACAGAAAGAGTCAATCTGGCATTGTACATGAGCTGTTTATTATTCCAATATGCCCCATCTGAAAACACAAAATTTAGACACCTTCCCCTGCCACTTGGGGGAAGCTCTGCACAGCCAACCACCACAATAAGGTCCAGCTGCACTGCAAGTTCTTCTCCCACAATGTCCTATTAAAAAGCTTATTAAAGTGAGTGGCTTGGTAAGATCTCAGCTTATCATGCCAGCCAGATGGTCTTGGACCTCCCTTTGAATTCCCCCATATGCTTGTGTTAAATGACAAGTCTCCTGAATCAGAACTCCTGCATTTGGTCTCTCTGCACAGTGCAGTGCACCACAAGGGCCTTCTGAGCATGACTTGCATGTCCCAGCAAAGCTGGAACATAAATAACTGAATAGAAACACAGATGCACACTTGCTCTTATTGGCCAAGAACAAAAATACTTCTACCCCAAGCAAAATTATATATTGTAAAATAAATGCCCCTCACTGTGACTGCTTTGTATTGAATACAGCGAATACGACAGCGTGTCCCTGGGTCTGTTTCATTTTGCCACATCTGTAGTTTATCTTATATTTTTGCTTTCATTTTTAAATATAATTGTCACGACAATTTTGGCCTATTTTGTTAGCACATACAACCTTTCCCAGAAGCACACTAGACTGCTACTGTTACACACCTGTGAGATACCAATACTACTTATTTTAGAGATGATATTTATAAATGCTGCTACACTCAAATTTTTTAACACCCTGTTTGTTCAGGTTTTGTTTTGTTGGTTTTTTTTTTGTAATGTCCCAAAACAAATGTCTTTAAATTTAATTTACAATACTATAAATTTACCATACGTAAGACTGGGATCGGAGGGTAGGATAAACAGATAACATTAAAAAAAAATTCACAGACTAAAGAACTGATATGAAAGTACACACAGAGGTTTTGTAACTGAATAAGCTCATCTTGCTCAACTGGGATTTCATTTGGTTCTTCATCCCTTGTATTTTCTTTATGAGCACTTAAGTCTGCTACCAGATCCTCAACAGATGTGTGACTTTCTCCAGTCATCTGCAATCTCTTTTCCATGGTGTTCCTAATCTCAGACAAACTGAAACCCATGGCTATGGCACTTTGTACCAAAGGATTCTGTAAGAGACCATCTAAAACAAGAAATTAAGAACAAACAAAAACACTTTAAGAAGGATGAATCTGATTATCTGACAGTATTGACTACAGTACTCTAAGACACATATTTGCAAACCGTAATCAAAGGAACCATATTTCCAATTTGAGAGTTTTGCTAATTGTAAATACTGCAGATTTGACATTTCTTCTCTCCTAGCTTTCCCAGTCTCCCCTCATCTATTTTATATTATAGAAATCCTCCTAGATTTGCTGTTCAAATCAACTACTTCAAATTAAATAGCATGTCTCATATAACTGCCATTACAAATTTTGTAGCTGAATGTTAAATGACATTCATCCAAAAAGGCACAATGGATAAGTAACATCAATTTTAATTCAGGTCAGAGAAGGAAAAAAACCTCATACATGTGTTGAGAGAAACCAATAAATAATTTGAATTTATAAAACCAAAACACAGCACCACCAATAAGCAAGCAGGTCTATCCGTGGCAAGACAACACTACTTGGGGAAACCATTATCCAGTCTGTTGGACCTTCCCCTTCCTTTTACTTATCAATATTGTTCAAACAGCAAAATTTTTGAATATTTAATTTTTTTTTAACTCTTTAATTTTTAGAAAAAGGTTCTTTTGTTTTCACTCTCATAAATGAGCAGTATGGGAGAGATTGCTAAGCAGGTTTTGTGTAGCCACTCTTACTATCAATAGCTCCCATTCCCTGGGATGAAGCTGCTTGACTGGCCTCCTTCTACTCCTTTGACTGTTTTGTCTTTTTATTGCTTGGTATTTACGAAAAGCATTGCAGGAATGTGTAATCCTGGAAGACATAATAAACCACTTCAGCCTGCTCAGCTTCCTAGTCCTTGCACTGGACAGAGCAAGTCTTCCTGGCCATGAAGAAGGGCTGTTTCTGTTCAGTATTTAGCATTCATCCCACAGCACTACTAATTCAATACTTGATGCACACTCACTAGCTGTAGGACTCAGTCCTATACAAACTTCTTCCATGGTTCACAACCTTCACTTTACAATATTTACCAAATTGTAATTATATTTCCTCTAGAGAAATAAAATACACTCTGCAGTTCTTTAGAAGCAATGGAAGAATATCATCCAACATTTTGCCTGTAGTGCTTTCTTTTAAAATGTAATAGGGTTATTTTTAAAATTAACCATTCCTGTCACTATACATTCAAATATGGATATTCCAAAATGGGGGAAGGCTGTTTGTTTTAAACAGATACCTTTAGGAATTATTGTCCTTTCAGCAGCTTCTGTCTAAAAGTGAAACATAAAGAAACAAAATTACAATTCTGGAGAAAGTAGACGGAAATACATACAGCTACAAAAAAAAAAAAAAAAAGCTATTTGATGTCAAGTTATTTTAGTGACTAAAACTATTTAATCTGCTCTGAACAACATGATCAGTATTTTGCTATAATTTTAACCCATCTCTGCAATAACCATATGTACACAATTCTTAAGTCTACAAAAGCATTCTAAAACATTATCAGTTTTACATTTTAGTGACTACACACAAGTTTAACAATGTCCTACCAACAAGAAAAGAAAATGTATCTGCTATTATTCATCATCAACCTTAGGTTCCCAGGCTATGAAACAAATGGCACCTGTTCAGTATCCCATATACAACATCACAAGGTGCCCTGGCTGTGACCCATAACCCAGGCTGTGGAGAATGGGGGGATGGCTACACTCTGATTGACAGAACCAAAACACACTGCAATTCTTTCACTTTCTGCCAATGAAAGTAGAGCAGGTGGATTAAATGATAGGCATGTAATTAAAAGGTAACTTCATATAAAAATTATGTTTATTTTTTCTATTTTAACAAAATTATTAATAAGCAAGAAACTTACGGTTGAATCCCTACATCCATCTTTTAAGTGAACATTATTTATAAATTCTATCCCCTTTTCATTGCTCACAAATCTGCACCTAAAAATAAGAATATTTAGATTTAATAGAACTGCATTAGTAGCAAAAATTTGTTACATAACTATGGAAGCTTTGATAAATTTCCTACATCATACAGACTGCCTGCTTTTAAAATCTCTAAATGATTAGTCAACATCTGTGACATCACTGTAATATGTCTAAGAACACCTTAAACACTTAAGCAGTACTTATCTTTCTCAGATTTTTGGTGAAAAAGAAAGCTTATGAGTTGTTGGCCATGACAACTCATGACACAGATGTCTAAAAGTAAAGGCTCACTCAAATGAAAAACAAACATTATGTTAAAATGCTGGTTCTTTTAGTCTTTCACAATCAAAGCAAACAGTCACTGGTGAAACAGGTGCCTTCCATGATTTCTTTCATTATTTTCCAGCCAGCCTTAGCCACTGGGCAGAGCTCTTCCCTACCAGAAGATTTAGGGAATGCCGTAATTCCTTGAGAAGAGTTCTCCAGCTCCAGCAGTTACTTCACCTTGAGGAACAGACAGCTGCTGTGAGACTGACACACTGCCACTGAGGCTGATATGCAAAACCTCAAAACAGATTTTAGACAACATTGGCAGTCCTTCTAAAAACTACTTCTGCTGCTGCTGCTACTACTGTCTGGAATCCTTAGTCCTTTCAAATTAGAGAGAACCATGTTTTGGATTCCATGCCACTAACTCGCTTCTTTAGGTTTGTTTGCTCTGTGGCAGCTGTTTAGTCATTTTGTATCTTGGTATAAGTTACAAACTTTTACATATAAAAAGCTATTAAAGCAACCATTTACAATGTAGCACTTGGATAACAAGAAAAAACCCTCAGATACATATACACAAAACTACAAATTCTTGCTGACAAAGCAAGCACTGGTTAAACCCAGACACAGATATCTTCCCTTTAATAATGCTACAAATAAGACAAATAAAATTATTTGAATAAATCTAAACAGTATTAAACCATAGTCAACCTTCTCAAGCCTTTATTATTATGCTCTGTCAATATAATGCAATATACTGTAAATGAGAGTCAGACACACACCACGAAAGCACTGAGGGATACCTTACCCAGGAAACCATTTGGCATGTTGATCCCAAGGGTCTTCATTTTCCTTCCACTCTTGCAATCCTCCACCACAGTGGAAACACACAACGTGATCACCATTACCTGAGGAAACACACAAGAATAAAGTTGCATGCTTTGTGCAGGCATAACACCAAGTTTTCAACTAAAATGTTACATTAAGAAAAGAAGTCTTTCTTTTACTGATTTGGCATTTCAATTGAAAATAACTCCATTTTAACTGAGGATAACACACCTAATTTGAAACAAATGTTCAGGGGAGAACTGAGCTTAAAGAAACACAAAATAAGAGAAGCAAGTTTCCTGAATTTTATTTTAGTAAGTAATTATACAGATAAAAAACCAAAACCTGAAAAAATAATCTGTTATCATGGAGCTCAATTCAATGGTAAACAAGGCCTGAAGACGTCTGCCACAAAGAATGACAGATGTTTACATGGGTTTGTGGATCTCCATTTCCCATTAAGATCAACAGCTCTAACCAGCAACAGCAAAACCAGCTGAGGAGAAGTGCATCCTCTGTCCTAGCACTGTGCCTGCTGTGATCCAAGACTGCCCCACAAACTGCTTCAATATTGTTTTTATTGGAATGAGAGGAGGTATGGATAGTGTTTCCACAGGGAGTTAAATTCTTCTCAGGTCACAGGGAGCAGTTTTCACAGAAGTCACCCCAAGAGCCCTTGGTCTGATAAGCTGGTGCCCAGAGAGTGCAACTCCACCACAGAGATCTTTTGGTACTTTCTGAACCCAAGAAGAAATCAATAAAAGAGTTATAGTGGGTACAAATATTGCCCATTTATAACCTATACAGGAATACAGCAAAGATTTTATTTATGGCCACAAGTAAAATAAACAGAATCATACTATAAAGTTCTGAGACCTACTAAGAAATAAGTTAACTAAGATAAGAGCAAGAAATTACCCCAGATAATCCCCTTTTCCCTGTGACTGTGTAAGAGCAACACTTTGCACTTGTACAGTATCTCTCACTGTGGAATTTCAAAGGTCTTTAATGGTACTGTGCAATTCCATCTAATTGAGAAACCAATGCACAGAGATGGTGTCCTATCTAAATCAAACACTACATGTCTAAGAGTGAAAGTTCTTCCACTGGTACCACTGTCTTCATAAAGTAGGCAGTAGTGGTATTTGCTGCTTTTGGGTGCCCACATGCCATGGTAATGGAAACTCACATTAACTAAGAAAATGGCACACAGCCTGGATTCCGAATTGTCTTGTCCACAGACTTTTGTAAAGGCCACAGGCCCATTCCTTACATCTAAGATCTGGCAGACAGCACTTCATTTCTTAAAAATTATGAACTCAAATAATTGTCATTGTGTAAGATGTATTATAAAAGTTTTAACAGGCAAAAACACATACTTGGTTGTTTTACTGCTAAGAATAAATTTATGATCAAGTCTATGCTTTGCTAGTAAACATACTTGATACCATGTATGCGATTTTATATAAGAACTGTAGAAAGTAGATTACAGAATAAAGAGATTCTGGCAAATTGTTTTGTTGGACAATACCCTTTTCTGACCCAGAGATGGGGCAACTGAGAGGCGTTTTAAAAACTTTTATTCTATTTTCAGTCTCATGAGAAGGGTGAGACAATACAGATGTTAAAATTCATACTATCACAATCAGAACCCAGCTATTTCTTTTCTACAAATCCATTTCCCACACTGTCCCATATAAAAATTTTTTAAATTGGGATTTTTTTCCATAACAATACACTTCCTCTTGTACAATTTCTTTGTAAAATGTATTAGACATTTCAAGGTCTGGCTTACCTATGCTATAGAACCCAGCTTCTGCAAGTTGCTCCTTGTCAACAGGATAAATCCAAGATAAAAATGTTTGTAAACGTTTTCCATATTTTGCCATAGAGGGATTCCTTGGGTGCTGGGCATTGTTCAGACCACTTACACCAAGCTCAGAAGGAACAGATTCACTTGAAACATTTCCTACATCCCGGCCCAGGACAAAAAGGCATTTGGGAAAATGCCTCTTGTGTTCTGACCAAGCTCTGTCACCGGGTTCCCAGTTCTTCAATTTTCCACCACAACAAAAACATGCTACTTGGTCACCAACACCTGTATAATAAAATCCAGCATTAGCTAATTCCTGTGGTGTCAACTGGCCATTGAGGGGCCAGTTGTGAAAAGACTTTAATCTTGTTTCTTCACTGCACATAGCAGGATTTTTAGGATACAAACTATCTGACATATCCACAACCTGCCTAGTTCTCAAAAGGTAATCTGCCTCCACATCAGGATCATCCAGAGCACATGGGAGGGCTGAATTGCTGGTGCCGTTTTCAGTTCTATCCTGGTAGTTCTGGGTAACAGGATCCATGTCACTTTCCAGAAAAGCAGATTCAGTAATAAACTTGCAGTGGGGGGCAAGCTGTTTGTGTCTCTCAACTGCAGAATCCCCAGGCATCCATCCTTCAATAACTGTATGGCAACTGAAGCACTTCACTTTGTCACCTTCTCCAGTATAAAGAAAGCCAGCCTGTGCCAGAGCCAGCGCCGAAACGGGGCAGTCCTGTGGAAACCCAACAAAAGTTCCCCGTCGCTCACGCTCCTGCGCCCATTCCCGGGCACCGGCAGTGTCCGCAGAGGCACAGCCTTCCGAGTTCTGGGGCACATTACACGTCATCCTTCATAAGCTGGGCTCCCCGGAGGTTTCCTAAACAAAGAATATATCTTTGAATTTCCCAGACAGAAGGATAGCTCATACCCATATACAACCCTGGAAGCTGGCTAAATTCAGCTCCCAACCTTTATGTATTAAAATCACAACTCTTCCTCTTCTTCCCCATTTCATCCCTGCCTGCATCACCTGCCACATAGAGGAAAACCCAAAATAATAAAACCAAAATAATATTAAAACAAAACAATATTAAAACCAAAATAATAAAAAAATTTGTCAAGAAAAGCAGAAAGATCAAGATGTCTTAGAGGCCTATAAACATTTACCTGGAGAACACAGGTTTATAGGTTTAAAAGTATGTTCTATTTCTTAATAAACATTTCAAGAATTAAATTAACAAAATACTGTCATGAAGTTCTGGCCCCAACCCTGCCAAAAGGCTTCTGAACCTGAAATACAAAGTTACTAAATTTAAAAATATTCATCTGAGCCAGACCATAGTTGCAGGATTTTAGAGCTCAATTCTTAAACACAACTATATATTATCCTCATATGAAGACCATGACCTCCATGCCCATTACAGGTGGGCAACAACTGGTAAAACCATCATCAAAAAGAAAAAAGTTTCTTTACTTGTCTTTTATTGTAAAGACACATCTCGATTTATATTTTAGCAAAATATCTTGTGAAATAAACTATCAGATATTTCACTGACCAAAGTGCTGGGCATTGCTTTTAAGATCAGTGTGTTGGGACTACCCAGCACTAGTGCTCAAGTCTGCTTCCCCTTTTCCACACCCTGCCTACACCCTCTGTAAAAATTCCTGTGCCCCTGCCACCACCCCAGCTTTTCCTCCCTTCCCTACCTGAAGGAATGTCATTCTTCTTAGCACTTGTCACACATTCCTACCCCTGCCTATACTTTTCCAGGGTGAGTACTAACTACCAGTTCTGCCTCACGTCCCTTCTGTGCCAGAAGGCTGCTCCGAGCACTCAAACAAGCCCTGTCTTTGCTGAGGATGAAACAAAGCAACTTGGCTACAGCAGGTCCTGTGCAAGAACCACAAACTGACAGAGTCATCACCTCCATCCCAACATGGATGAAGTGAAAGCACAGTAAACATTCATCTCTTGTCCAGACAAGTGCAGTGATACTATTAACTTAAAAAGTCTTGGCCATTGATGGTACACATCTTAAAGTGGTAAATTAAATTATGAGACCACCCAAATAAGCTTCTTAGCACAAAGCAGTAATAGTTCAGCAATTAGCAAAAAGAAAGGCGTATAAGGAAGAACAGAGTATGTACTTAACTGAACAAATGTTCTTCTCCATTTTCTATGAGAATCCTGAAATATATCAATTTCCAGTCTGCGTAAGGTAGGCCAGCACACAACAATATATCTTCCTCAAGACTTGCATTAATATTGATCACACATTCTGCAACGTCAACGCAGATGTGACAATGATTACTTCTGTAACATCATATTTAGCCTCTACAAAACCTTTTTTAGGGCTCAGAAAAGGGAGGGGGAAATTAAAATGCCTATGTATTGCAGGATTGCTGCATCCTCTGCCAAGACGACAAAGATAATTAGGCTATGAGAGGTGAAGAAAACGTGACATCAGACACCTGGCATGGGTGCTTCATGTAATCATGGATACAAGACTGACACCAGCTTTAATTCCTTCTGTCTGTCAGTTCATGACTAATGCAACAATAACACTACAAATTATACTGTGGCTTTCTGTTTTAGCTTAGCAAATTCAAAAATAGCATCTGAATAAATTGCATTGACTGACCTACAAATCTGACCTATATGCTTGTTTCGACTTTGAAGGGCAAAGAAACCCAAACCAGTAATTACATTTAGTAATATGGAAGTTGTCGTAAAACATGTGTTTTTATATACATGCATCTATTGAAAACAATTGGTTTTTTATAATGAAAAAGCTTTTATGTTTATTGCTCATGTTTATTTCCATATAAAACCTTACTTTAAAGCCTCTAGAACTGTTCCTGTAAAGATCTCAGGTGACCTTAAGCATCCATCACTACTACACTGTATCCAAGAAAGAACTGGTATTACTCAAAAACAGTTAGCTGCACAGTAATTGACTTATCTGTGTGCCTGAGAGCCTTTCTACAAGAACACAAACAAAGCCTACCTCACATCCTTCAAAAACTCCTTTTCAAATTGTCCATTGAAAAAACCAAAACAAATGTATATAGCTTTTGCTGTATGAATAGCAGTATACCTCTATTTCTATTGTATTTATATAGAAATTAGTTCAGAAACAGTGAAAAAAAAAATCTTCCTATTTAAATTTTTTACATTTTAATTTTTTTGTTTATGTACATTCGTTTTTTCTACAATGCCATGAATACTTCAAAAATCCTTCTGTTAACATGGTGAATAAAAAAGAAATTATGCCCTCCCCATGGTAATAATGAAAATATTTGCCACATTTGGATTCTCTGGAGTCAATCCTCACAATCAAAACAGTATGAAAAGCATGTACCAAGAGAGCAATAAGTACTGACACAGCAGGTACAATCATAACAGATCAATTCTTTAATATGAACTAGCTTTTCCAAATTATATCAACCACATAATTTAATCATGATCACTTGGAGCAGAAAGGTTCAAGTATCATTCTAAAAGCCTCATCTAACTGCTGCAATGACAGAAGCAGGGCCAGTCCCTCCCAGGAAGGGGCAAGGCTTAACAAAGCTCCAGCCACACCACAAAGCCTTCCCTTACAACAGCACCTCAAACGATGGCTGGTTTCCATTTCACTATAGTTTTATCTATGAGAAACATCTTGATCAAGCATTGAGGCAAACTCCTTGCCTGTGTAAGTACTGTTTTATGTACAACATTAGTACTACTTTAAATAAAGTATCATGTTCAATTATTTCTATTTCAAACAACTGTTAAAAGCAACTACTCAAAGTGTAAAATTACAGCTAGCTTAGGAAGACTACTTCTGCACATGCTTTTTAGCAGTTGCCTAACTCCAGTTAGTTGGAATAATGATGATCTAGAACACATCTGGCATCACAACAGCACTCAGATAGACATTAACTGCAGCAGAAAAATGAGCGAGGGTAATTTTTTTAATAGTTTACAGCTAAGAAACATAAACTCACAAAATTCTGCTAGTATCTGGCATCACAACAGCACTCAGACAGACATTAACTGCAGCAGAAAAATGAGTGAGGGTAATTTAATAGTTTACAGCTAAGAAACATAAACTCACAAAATTCTGCCAACTAAGATGGGCACACAAGACCTTACAATACACACCAGCAGCCAACCTGAGGTCAGAGTATACTTTATATATACTGAAGTTAATGAAACCATTTTGCATAGGTTTTAATTAACCACATGTGAATTAAAGGTAGAAGCTCCAGAAATGTTTAAGATCATCTTCACTTATAAAACCCAGATATTTCAACTATTATGGAAGCATATATGTATTTTTATACAGTGAGTAAACACAGTCTATTTTATTTCTGAAAGGCTTCCAGAAGCTAAGCCAAGTTTAATCCTGATTTTAAACATCTGAAGGCTATTTGCCACAAGACACCACCCTCTTTCAACCTAAATTACCAATCCATATAGCCTACTGATTAGGTTTCAAGAGAAAAAGTAGAGACAAAAATATATAGCAAAAATGTTAACTTTTTCAAAATGCAAAATTGTACATTGTGAATCTGCAAAACAAACATGTTTAATTCAGCTTTAAAAATACCAAGAGGTATTGATTTTATAAAAAAATACAACATTATCATATTACCTAGACTTGAAAAGCTTCAAAGGAAAAGTACAAAACTCACTTTTCCCTTTTAAGTATATTTTACTAGATGTGATTATTTCCATCCTTAACCCCAAACTAGATTGGCACTATAAGGAGCTATTTTTAATTCTTTTACATGACTAGCACAGCAGTAACCTCCAAGTCAGAAATCTCCTTGCACAGCCTCATGCTCCTGACCAAAGGGTACATGCTAGTGTTTATTGTTGACTGAATTTTGAAATATGAGTAGTGCACCAAGTAAATATCAAACAGAACATACTGTACCAGCTGACACACAGATTATGCATATGTCACTTCAATGAACTTCAGTTTCTGCTTGCTCAGCTGCAATTAGATCAAGGAAGGTGCATGCTGCTAACTGAAAACCTACTTATAAAGACTAAAATGACCACAAACATGATATATTTAAACAGTGTTTGAAAATTTTAGTGTACTTATATCTAATTATCAATTGCCATTTTTTAAAAAGTAATGTTTATATTAGAAAGAGGGTATGTATCTACAGAGTGTCTCCTGATTCAGTGCCAAAGCTTACATAACCCTCTCAGCTCAGCTTTATTTGTCTGTTCTTGCTCAGGTCCTACTTAGCCTGCCGTCAGGGTTTGTCATCACAGGAAGTCAGTCAGCTGCTCAGGGTTATAGCAGGCTATTACATCCTCCTAATTTTTGACTTAAGTCACAAAGGCTTTCATGCTCTCCCTGTCTTCAAAATGCACATAACCAGATCAACAGAAACATACCATTTTGAGAACTATTTTCACACTGTGATTTTCTTAATGAAGAAGTCATAGGGGTATGGAACAGAGAAATAAACAAAAAAGATGGCTTCATGGCTGCTAAGGGCAGAGAAAGAAAATCCTTTTGGAGAACTTCCAAGTTAAATGTCATCAGAACTTTAGCTGTATGCATGAGAAGGAAGGAGTAAATACCAGCTTCTATAGCAAAAACTGGCATGCTGTAGCCCAGGTAAGATACTGCTCTTGTGGCTAAGAACCACTGAGTCAACAGGGGTTATTAAAAATACCAGCCAGTAGTAAAAAATGCCTATCAAAATCAGCAGTGCCCTGAGATGCACCTTCTTTCCTGATGAGCTGAGCTTCAGCTTTTAGCGCTACATCCTTCTTACTCAAATAATTTAAACTTCTAGGTGAAAAAAAAATATGGGAAAAAAGGGCATTTTTGATCAGGGAGATATTATGATAAGAAACTTCAACTACAGCAACATGATTCATGCCACAGCAGAACTGCTGAATCTTCTGGATTCGGAGGCAAAGCTGGAGAAGCAGCGGGCCTGCAGCTCCTGCCTCAGCCGCTGGCGAGGGCGTTCCTGCCCCGCCCGCAGCAGCCACGCCGAACGCCCGGCTCAGTCACCCAGCTGCAGCTGAGAGAGAGCAGCACCCCGGCACCTTCGGGAACAGCAGGAGTGCTTCGCCGTTAGCATGGGAAGAAGCTGCGTGTACACATGTATATACATCCATATTTAAAGTGTGTGTATTTGTGCACACACAGCCCTCATCAAACGCCCGGCTCAGTCACCCAGCTGCAGCTGAGAGAGAGCAGCACCCCGGCACCTTCGGGAACAGCAGGAGTGCTTCGCCGTTAGCATGGGAAGAAGCTGCGTGTACACATGTATATACATCCATATTTAAACAGCCCTCATCATCTTGTAAACTTGGAAATCTCTCTTGGATTAGCCATTATATTTTATTTTTACCTTTGTCAGGAAATGGGGATGACTTGGGAACTAATTTTAATATTTCACCAAAAACAAAATATGAAAGTTGTTCCTGTTGAAAACACTCTGCTTGCCTTTTTATTTAATAAGAAACTCTCCAAACCACTGAAGGGGAAGGACAATGATCTGCAAGATGTGCAGCTTTCTTTTACACTTTATATGATAGGAGTGACACTCAATTCAAGCTTTGCAGCATGCCTTCATCTTAACAGCCTTTCAGTCTTCACACACAGCTACACTTTTCATGTTTAAAAATCTTGTGGTTTCTTGAGCCTGACTTTAAATCATCATGCTCAGAATATTTTGGATTAGAACTCTGTAAAAAAGACCCCATGCTATGAAAAATAAAATGCAGCAAAGGACTGTACACTGTTAAACAAAACAATGCCAAAGGTACTTACAACAGTTTTCCTTAAGGAATTAGTATCCAATCAGACCAAGTACACCAACGAACTAATCAAAGCAGATACTGGTTTCATTGCTATTTTCCACCAATCTTTAGAACAAATTCCAATATTTACAGTCCTGTTGGTAGAAAAAAAAAGAGGTTGAAGGTTACTCTTTCACATAACCTTCAGCATTGTTTATGAAACCACAACTTCAAAACTATGACCAAAAAAAAAAAAAAATTTAAAATTCTGTCCCTTGGACAAGTAATCCGAATTAAAATATAATCAAAAGCTGAAAGAGTCTAAGGTCAAGGAAACTCTGAAATGTAGACAGATGTTATACTAAAACTAGTAAGG